CCTGCCGGCCCCAACCAATTTATTTTCTTGAGAGAGGTTTGTGCTATAGGGCACACACATTCACCAGAGAGACAGAGAGAGACGAAAGCGAGAAATCACTCCCCCCCACCCACCCCAGGGCAGATGGCCATGCTGCAATCCCTCCTCCTCCATTCTCCTCTTGGGATATTGGGCACTCACATGCATGTGCTTGGCATGAGTTTCAAGCCACTGGGTTTAGGACTTGAACCACGGTTGACTACACGGGAGTCCAGCAACATAACCATTATGCCATGTGCTGTTCCCAGTGCAGACAAATTTTAAATCTATGCATAATTTTTTCTTAATGCTCATTTTCCATGAACCATTGAAAGACCTCACATATTAAAACCGTGCAGTCAAAATGAGCAACCTTGCAGAAAAATGCATATTAGCCAGTGTTCTTATAAAAAAGAATTGACAAAAAGTTTCATTTAATGACCACTTAATACAACTGAACAGACTCTGGAGAGTGGTAGTAACAAGTGTAAGAGAATTTGACCTAGAGCAATAGAGGAAGAAGTCCTGGAAGAAATCCACAATGCCATGGCAACCAGTGCTATGTGACAAACACACACAAGAAGTCTGGCCCTAAGCAAGTGAAAGGAGAACCGAGACTAGGAGGGGACCAGAGAGCAGCCAGGCATGTTTACGTGGGTTGGTGAGGAAAACCATTAAAAGGAAGCACACGCAGAAACACTCGGGCAGGAGACTCTGGGAGTGTGTGTGCACCTGGAGTTTGCACAGTTCTGAGAACTAAGAACTGAGTGCCCGAACCTTCCGAGCACAGGCCCCATTCATAAGAGCAATTGATTTGTGTATAGAAGGTTGCATTCTCTAAGAATAGCTGCCTCACTGCAACTTCAGTTATTGAAATCTTACATGAGTAGGTTAGGGTGACAGGAAGGTCGAAGGACTGCTGTGTCTGTCCACGCCCATGTAATGCAGCAGAAGGCTGCCTGCAGGAGTGAGGAGAGCTGAGAAAAGTTCCCCAAACTCTCAGTGCTTAGCAGAGCCAGTAAAGAAAGTCAGAGTTAGGAGTTGCATTTATCTTTACAATGCTGCTATTTCTTCCTTCCTTTCTTTTCTTTCTTTTTTTAGGTTTTTGCCATAGGGTGTGTGTGCTTACCAGAGAGAGACAGGGAGAGGGAAAGTGAGAAATCATTCTCCAGGAGGTATGGCCAGGTTGCCATCCCGTCTTCTCCATTCTCCTCTGGGATTCTGGGCATGCACACACAGGCACCCAGTGTGATTTTCAAGCCACCAGGTCCAGAACTCAAACTGCAGTCAGTCATGTAGGAATGTAGGGCTTTAACCACTATACCACCTGGGGAACCAGCAGTTAGCGTAACGGCTATGTCGCTGGATTCCCACGTAGTCGACCGCGGTTCACGTCCCGGACCCCGTGGCTTAGAACTCACTATGGGCGCGTGTACGTGCGTGCCCAAGATCCCGAGAGGAGAATGGAGGAGAAGGGATTGTGGCGTGACCATCCCCTCTGGGGGGGTGATTTCTCACTTTCTGTCTCTATGTCTCTCTCTGTCTGTCTGGCGAGTGCACACGCCCTATAGTGAAAAACCTCTCAAAAAAACCCAAAAACCAAAAACCAAAAACCCAAACCAAACCAAAACAAAACAAAAAACACTATACCACCTGCTGGCCCTAACAGTGCCATTTCTCTAGGAAGTAGTTTTAATTTAGGAGTGAGAGGAAGAAAAAGAAAAATTACCGATACATAATGAAAGTTTTCATGAGAAAAAGAAGACTTGAAAGGAAGATGACCAAAAAATAGAAATTTGCATGTATGTCTCAATACATGCATATCCAGAGGCAAAGCATGCAAAATACAACATTGTTTCACGATAATGGATCTTAACCAAGGTGATTTTTATGTCCCGGGAAACATTTGGCAATGTCTAGAGGCATTTTTGGTTGTCATAACTGGGGGGAAATGTTATTGGTATCTAGTGGGTAGCATCCCGTGATATCCAGGATGGTCCCCCCACAGCCAAGTACTCAGCCCCAAATGTCACGGTGGGAGTGCTGGGAGACTGTATTCTCTTAACATGTCTCCCCAAATTTCTAAGGATTATACAATAACTTCTTAAACAGTATTTTGGGAAACTGCTTCTCCAAAACAAGCCATTTCCACTACAGATCACACAGTACTGGATACTCAAATCTAATTGAATGATCCTTTTTAGACTCAGTTATGATGACTTCAAAAAGAGATGCCTACCAAGTAAAGAAATGGTAGGACCTTTGAGAGACCTACTGCTTTTGGATCATATGCCAAGAATTATGAGAGGAAGGAGAGAGGACTAAGAAGTGGTAGGGGAAGGAGGGAGGAAATATGAGAATATTTTTTGGCTAGATGAAACAGATGATTAACATAAATTTTTCTATGAGAAATGAAACACTATAATGCTCTTCTATTTTACTAAAATACTAAGTATAAGGGAAGAAAACCTAGATAAAAAAACTTCACTACAGAAACCAAAATCCACATACAAACTAAATCTATAGACACAGAAGTCACTAAATATCTATCTGAATGCAAAGAAAACTGATAGATTGCTTCACTGGAAAAATATTACCACAACAAACCAAGTGAAATTTTCAATTGTTAGCCACA